CCTTCCACCTGCCACGGGCAGTGCTGGCCATGGATGAGCCTCACAGTCCATGACACAAAGGCCCTTTCTAATTCAGCTAGTTCAACTTACCAGAGAGGCACATTGCCTTCCAAACACTTCAGTAACTGTGGATGCCTCCCCGGTTCCCAGTTTGGAAGTAGCATTGGACAAGCAGCTCACTGGGAGGGTGGAGCCATTGCGTTTCTAGAGGGTGTGGCCACTTCCTTGTACTGTACACCCAACCCTAACCCTATAGTGCCTTCCGTGACACTGACCGAATTGGCCTCCCTAACATGTTGTGAACACTGCCACCACAGGTTGGCCTGCAGCCTGTCAGTCACCCTTGGCTCATAGCAGCTTCGTTGTGTTCATCCTTGGGATTTTTGCCTTTGAAGCCTGGGTATGCTCTGGGTGCCTGGAGTTAAGACCGGTGATGGTCAATTGTGCTCCTTTCCTTGACAAATGAGGTCCTCCTGAGGCCTTGCAGGGACAGTCAGTCCTCTGTTAGCCGCGGGCTATGTGGCTGAATCCTCCTGTGAAGCTAGGAGGGTGCTATCGCCCTCTTGTGGTCTACTTGAGAAAGAGCGTGCCCAAGGTAGACACAGCACCCCCTGGGCTACGGTGGGGAAAGCCCGTGCAGTGGGCGGGGTGGAGGTGGATTGTCATGCCCTCGGGGTTGACTCTGAATCTTCCCTGCTTGGGTAAACCACACCAACACTTTGGTGATCATTCCTCAAGCTTAAAAGTGTAAGAAATGTCACGTAACTTTTCCTCTGAAATGTTTTCATGACTTCCAAGACCAGTGGATGGACAGGGCAGACTTTGGCAAGATCCAGTGACCCCTACACCAAAGTTTTAGGCTCCAAGTCTCCTCATAACAGGTTTCTATGACTCTTCTCGTACATCCTGTTTAGATGTGATGTCTTGAGCCTCCGCCGGCTCACACCTTTTCCATCCCCCTCTGGCCAACTGACTGCAGGATTGTAATGTGACTCAGAGAGTGATTCCGGCTCCATCAGACCCTCTTGGATCTGCTTCTCGACTCCCACCTCCTGTCAGGTCCCCTAGACTAGAGAATCCCCTTAGCTCCCTCTTCCTGGCATTGCTCTTTTTAAGGGTGCATATTCCAGAAGCTCCTTGAAAAGACTATGTGAGAAGGGATTTTGTGCCTGTGGGTATCTCTGGGTAAAGTTGCCTTTACCCCCCACCCCCTTCTGTATGTTACATGGACTAGAACTTCCAGGGAGGTTGTTTCTTAGGCCTCATCCCTCTAGGGCAGCTAATCAACAGATGATTCTGATCAGGAGTATGGGGACCTTATTGACAAGGATGGATGACTGATGGATGGATGATTGATATTGATTGGTTTTCCCAGTTGACTTTGTGTTTATCTCTGGAAACACTCTCTTGGCAGCCAATTTTGCTAAGCCTCACCAGGACCTGTGCCTGTGGATTCAGCTGTAGCTGGTCTCACACAGTTCCAGGGTGGGGGTGGGGCCTGGGAAATCTTTCTCTATTTCTCTGACTCACTTTGCTGCATTTCTCTGATTCTGCCTGGAGTTTCTGTCCTGGCAGCACTGTCCCTTGGGAAATCTCCCACAACACACACACACACACACACACACACCGTCTCTCTCTGTCTCTCTCCTTCCCCTCTCTCCCTTTCTCCCCACCCCCTCTCTCTTCGATTCCTTGCTCCTCCAAACCTTTTTTTTTTTTTTTTGTGGTTGTTGTTGGTTTTGATCCCTAACAACCAGTTCTCTCTGATCTTGGATTATTTCTCTCTCTTCTATTTTTATGGCAAGGCTGTCAGGTTCTAACCTCTGGGATCTCCTTGTTTCTGTTATTTTTTTTCCCTCTTCTGGACTGTTCTGTTCCTTCCAAATTGCTTTTCTGTTTCCCATGGTCTCTCCCTGTTGTGTGTGAAGTAGGGACTGGGTCCCTTGAGGATCTGTCTGTCTGCAGCCCCCATCTGCACTCCACTGGACATCCCCTTTCTCTCGGAATAGCCAAAGAGGATGGGGGGGGGAGGGGGAAGAGGGGAGGGATCGGGCTTGCCTCTCACACCTGCCAGGTGGGGGAAGCACCTCTCCTCCAGGCGCTTTAATTAACAGCTGGAATTCGTATACAGCAAGAGGACCTTTGACGTGTAGATGCTTAGTAGACTGAAATAGAACACCCCCGATACTGAAAGATCATCCCAGACAGCAGAAATGTACAAAATGAGCACAAGACATCAAACTTAGAGTTGAGTCTCTTCACTTGACTCAGAATAGACTATCATGCACACACACACACACACACACACACACTTGACATATACACAACCCCACATGCTGACCACTTAAATAGACACATCTACCACTTGACTGTGGAGGAGGACCTCATTTGAAGGAGTGTGAATTTCAGTGGGAGTCACATGGTGGGTGGGAAAGGGAACCCCAGCTGTGGATGCTACTCCTCACCCTCCCTCTCCTCTGCAGGACTTTGTGGTTGGGCTCTCCATCCTGCTTCGAGGGACGGTCCATGAGAAGCTCAAGTGGGCCTTCAATCTCTATGACATTAACAAGGATGGTTATATCACCAAAGAGGTACTGGGTTGGCAGGCCTGCTGCCCCTCCTCTCTCTCCTGAAGCCACTAACCTGGTGATTCTCAACCCTGCCTTGCGACCTTGCCACAGTCTCACAAGTGGTTGGTTTGGCTCAAACATTTTTATCTGAAACAATCGTAGCTTCTTGTTTTGGAGACAGGTACATAAACCTATTTCCAGTCTCTCTTGGGAGTCATTGGTTAGGCTCCAGAGCACTCTTTGTGTGCCCCAGCTCACTCTTTCCAGGCCCCCCAGACTCACCACCGCCCTAGAGGTAGCTTTGGCCTTTGGAGGTAACATCCAAAGGTTCCAGGCATCTTGCAGTGGAAGCAGACTCATGCAGCTCTCTGTTCCCCAGGAGATGCTGGCCATCATGAAGTCCATCTATGACATGATGGGCCGCCACACCTACCCTATCCTGCGGGAGGATGCACCCCTGGAGCATGTGGAGAGGTTCTTTCAGGTGTGTGAGCCCTGGCTTCCTGAGGAGAGGGAATAGCCCTAGTGAGTCTTCAGCCAGTGCCAGCGAGGCGATGCAACTAGGCTTCCCTCCTGCTCTAGCTGATGTCCCTTGAGAAGTGAGTGAAACTTAGGCCCTGTCCCAGTAAACTTCATTTGGGAATGAAGTATCCTGGGCACATAGATGCAGAGGCGGCTGGCACCCACCCAGGGTCCAGGGTTTTAGTGCCTTCTGGGACCAAAGAAGCTCCCCTCCTTCCACTCTACCTGAGTGGTATTGAAGTTGCCTCCATTCTGGAGGAACTGAAGGAACCAATAGTTTAATTTTTTACCCTGTCATTCTGTCCCTCGTAAGCTCTGGCTTCTGTCAGAGAGAATGCTGAGAAGCTAAGCTGAGGTAAGCCAGCAGGGAGCTCACTAAGCAGGCCACCTGAGGAGACACCAAGGGCAAGGTTGGCTGAGAAGGGTGGGAAATAGAGGGACCAGTTGAATTGGAGGAAGGCCACCACTTCCACCCCAACAGTGTCTTCAGGCTGGAGTAGGGGAAGGTCCTAAGGGACAGGCTCACCTTGGGTATGATTTGGGTTGCAGAAAATGGACAGGAACCAGGATGGAGTAGTGACTATTGATGAGTTTCTGGAGACTTGTCAGAAGGTAGGTGGTATTAGAGGGCTGGACTTGGGGCCTTCTGTAGTTTGTCTGTCTCTCTTGGTCTCCCCCAGTCTCTGTCTCTCTCTGAATGTGTGTGTGTGTGTGTGTGTGTGTGTGTGTGTGTGTGTGTGTGTGTTTCTCTCTCTTCTCCTCCCTCCCTCCTCACACACAGGGTTCTGTTCCTGCCAGGGTATATGGAGGATGTTATTAGCTGTGCTCAGGTCTCAGGTCCCACTTATGGGGAATCTTTCCTTTTTACTGAGTCCATCTCCTCAATGTCCCCTGCACTTGTCACCTTCCTCATTCACCTAGTCCCCACCCCCAGAACTTCACTCAGCTCTGCTCATGATGTCTCCAGAGAGCAGATGTGGGGTTAGCAGGGGGTGGTGATGAGCTCAGTATCCTCCTCAGACAGAATCACACTACAGGAAAGGTAGCCAGAGCCTCCCTGGAGCTACTGCAGATCCTCCTCTCAGAGTCCACGAGGACAAGAAACACATTCCACGGCCTCCCACCTCTGAATAACTCCTGGTTTCTGACCTGACTTGTAGCCAGGGGTTTTTGTGCATCAGTGGTGGCCAGACCCTGCTCCATCCCTAGGAATGACAGACCACTTGGGCTCTGGGGCTAACTATTCCATCCCTCTGCTCCAAAGTGCCCCATCTGTCCCGTGAGACATACTCTCTGACGGGGATCTACAGTTAGTCAGCATTGGGGAATACTTCTGCCCTGCCCCCAGCTCCTGACCAGCCTCTCCTTTCTTCACACAGGACGAGAACATCATGAGCTCCATGCAGCTGTTTGAGAATGTCATCTAGGACATATGGGAGGGGACCCTGGGTGGCCATTGCTTCTCAACCCAAAGAAGCTTCAATCCTGACAGGAGAAGCCTCTATAAGAAACATTTTTTTCTAATATATTTGCAAAAAGTGAGCAGTTTACTTCCAAGACACACACACACACACACACACACACACACACACACACACACACGGTTCCTCTGGCTTGGCAAAGCCAGGAGGCACCCCCAGCTATTCCCAGGTCAATAGATAAGGCTGTCTCTGGGATGGCCAGCCCTGGCTGGATGTTACCCACAAGGAGTTTAGAGCCCAAGAGGGCCAAGTCTACAAAGCTAAGGTCCCTGTGTTTTTTCTACCACTTGGGAGATCAAACTACTCCCTGCCCATGGACCCACGCTCCTAGGAAGCTCCCAGAAACTCCATAGGGGCCAAGAGGGGAGGGGCCAAGAGTAGGGAGAAATGGTGTTGGAAGCTGAGCTTGCAGCTTTATGCTAGTGCTCATCTGAGGCCCTGGAACCCCAGTGCCAGGCTACCTATTGTGGGGCGAACTTAGATAGAAGGACCACTGGGCTATGTCTTCCTTTAAGAGTAGGTCAGGGTTGAGGTTTATGGAGAAACTGAGGGAACAGTTTGTCCATACCACTGGGTGACGGCTACTGGCTAATGGGAACGTGACTGGTGGAGATCTCCCAGCTTCCAGCACCAGGCTGGCCTCCCCAAGGTCCTCTTTGGTTCTCTGGGGAGATCACTTGGCTCAGGGACTGATAACCAGGGAGCTGGACTGTGATGGGAGAGGTCTGGTAGGGGGCATCCCCCTCTTTTTCCCTGGCCACTTGCCACCCAGTTCCTTAACACAGTGGATCGGCCACACCTCTGTGGCTGCCCTTGAACAGGCTCATCCCAACCAATACAAAAAGCACAAAAACACCCTAGCAGCTCAGGTCACACCCACAAGGGGGAGGCAGGGGACCCTGGGTAGGAGAGGCCTGGGTCCCTGTGGCCCTGATTCAGTGGCCAAGAAAGATGCTCAGAAATCCATCCTGTACCTCAGAGCCTTGCGGTCTCACAGACCTTTCCCAGCCCAGCTCGCCAACATTCTAAAGCACAAACCTGAGGACTCTGATTGCCTGGGCTGCACCCTGGGTATCAGAGTCCATGTTAGCCCTAAGCTGGATTTATCCCTGATGACTGGGGTCCTGTGACCAGGCAACAGGTCAGCAGACCTTCAGGAGAAGAGAGAGCTGTTCCTGCCTCCCAAGGCCTCTCCCAGAAGGGACAGTGTCCGGGGCAGCATGTTCCCTGGAGGAATATTCCCACAAAAGTACATTCCGTCACCTGCAGCCCGGTCTCTGCTCAGGCCTGCCTCTGAGAGTCAACTAGTGTTCCCCAGAAGGCCAACCCCAGGGTAAGAGAGGTCCTTAGAGGAAGGACAGGGTGACAGCACCCTATACACAGGTGGACCCCCCTCATAGGGCTGCACTAACCCCATCTCCATCCTGACGAGGGCCTCCCTTTACCCCATCTACAGACCATCAGCTCTCCCTGGCTCAGGGACCTCCCCCACCCCAGCCTGCCTCTTCCCATTGACGTCCCTGTCTTGTGAGAAGCCAAGGCCACGGAGAAGGCTACCACTCTAACCTGCTGCACCCCTTAGCCTCTGGCTGCACGCCCAACCTGGAGGGGTCTGTCCCCTTTGCAGGGACACAGACTGGCCGCATGTCTGCATGGCAGAAGCGTCTCCCTTGGGTGCAGCCTGGAAGGGTGGTCCCTGTTTCACCGCCCACCAATATTCAGTCCTATATATTTTAATAAAAGAAACTTGACAAAGGAGATGGACTCTCTTTGGCTTCATCTGAACGGTCAGTCAGCCATTCCCTCCTGGCTGCTATTAGCTATGATTTCTACCCGGTGGCTTGTAGGTGGATGCTGACAGGTGGCTTTGAGGAAGCAAATGCCCAGAAATTTCCAGGCTCCCAGTGTGACATCACTGAGGGAAAAAAATGTCACATGTCATGGGCCTTAGGGACCTTCAGAAGATGTTCAGGTGCTAGAACCATAAACACAGAAGGCTGTGGGACACTGTGGCTTTCTGAGATGTCATTTATATTTCATCGCCAGGTATTTTTCTTCCCAATTCCAGAAATTCACTTCTGGGTGTCCTTTGGCAAGGGAAGACAGGCCATATGGAAAAGGGAGCAGAAAAGAAATGGGAACGCAACTGAGTTGGTAGCATGCTTACCTGGCATTCATAAAGCCTGAGTTTGGGTACCAGTTTAGGTGGGACTAGGGATTTAAAGCACCACACTCTTTTCATCCCAGCACTCGGGAGGTAGAAGCAGAAGGATCAAGTTCATCATCAGCTACATGGCCAGTTTGAGTCCAGCCTGGGCTACATGAGACTTTGCATATGTATCTACATGTGTAGCACAGCAGGGGGTGTCACTTCTGCCCAGGGGATGGTTGGAGGATGAGGGGCAGAGGTTGTTTGTGGCTGAGCAGATAAATGCTTGGAGCAGGGAGGTGATGGGGGGCTGTGGTACTTTGTAAGTGGCCCCACTGGACAGCAGGCTGATGAGTGGGCATTAGAATAAGGTGCGGACTGTGAGGCAATCCCAGAGGGTCTCCAGCCAGCCTTAAGCACACAGGCCACTCAGTAGCACCCCATGTTCTTCTGTGACAGTTGTCGGGTAGAAAGGCTATTGAGCCAGTTGGCTGTGTGACCAAGAGAAGTCACACAATCTCATTGCTTCACTTTCCTCCCTCATGAAAAAGGAAGAGACAGAGAGAGAGAGAGGGAGGGAGAGAGAGGGGGAGGGAGAGAGACAGAGTGAGACAGAGAGAGACAGAGAGAGACAGAAAGACAGACACAGACACAAAGAGAGACAGGGAGAGACAGAGAGACTGTACTGTAGAGCCAACTTACATGAGTATTCAGCCTGGCAAGTGGGGTCAGGCCCGTCTGTATTCTAGAATACAGGGGCTCCAAAGGCTGCTTCCATGAATTGACTCCTCTGCCTCTGCCCTCTGTCATGTGCAGTGTCTTCCTGCTCCCACACAGTCTCCTTTATCTCTGAAGGACACATGCTCCAGAGGAACTGACTGCTCTGACCACTTCCTGTGAGTGTGCTAGCTCACACATGTAATCTCAGCCCCTAGGATGCTGAGGCAAGAGGATTAATCCATGAGTTTGAGGCCAGCCTGGGCTACACGGACTCCCAGGCCAGCCTGGGCTATATAATGAGTACAATGAGAACCTTCTCAGACAAAGACTGTCCTTCCTGCTCATGGGGGCTGTCTTCTGCCCAGTTTCTTACCAGTCTATGGATTGGCTGCCCCTTGGGACAGGTATCAATGCTGATCCAACCAGCTCTGGGCAGCACTCTCCACCTGCTGGCCAGCAGAGTATGGGGAAAAGGTGGTAGGTTAGACCACAGAGGAAGAGCTTCTTGTCCCTGCAAGGCAAACCTGAAGGTAGGAAAGGATAATGTCTCCATATGATTCCCAGAAGTCCCTTAACACAGTCCCAGGCTGCTAAAAGCATTTGACATATCGGGCATAGGTCCTGTGCTTCCACTCTGGAACTTTCTGACTCGTGTTGAGAATAATGTCACTGAACCTCAATGTCCTTAACTGGAAAAAAAAAATCCTTGATTCACACTACTTTGATAATTAGGGGTTGTCTGTTTTGAGACAGGGTTTCACTAGGTGGCTCAGGCTGGCCTCCCCCTTGGTGGCCTCTTAACAGATGTTTTTTTGTCTTTCCTGTGCACTGACATTTTTGTGTATTTCCCCATCCTATAGAAGCATAACTCACACTGATAAGCCATCAGATAAAGGACATTTGTGATGGCCTCCAGTTTCCTTGGTCACCCCAAAAGCACATGTGGGAGTCGGCCTGCTAAGGTGGGGCAGTCCACATCAGTCAGACCACGGCCAGTGATCTAATATCCATATGCCCCACTCCTTGTACCACCCACCTCATTATCTGACCAAAGCAGAAAGATTCAGAGCAAACTCTGACCACTGGGGACCTGACGTTTAGAGAACATTTCTCAGTCTACAATCTGGTTGCACTCCCCCTATGGACCACCAGGGGGAGATAGCACCATTTCTTGTTTCATCTCCTCTGACTCCAGGTCCCAGGGGACCACAGGGAAAGGAAAGTATCTGTCATCTCCTTCAAAGTCCCAAAGACATTTTCCTATTTCTGCTTCATCCTCATTGGGGTTTAAAAAATTAAAAAAAAACATGCATAGAATGTATGAAGAAGCAGTTCCATAAATGCATCCACAGTAAAGCAAACTGGGCGTTGGGGATAGGGGACCCATAGGGGTGTCCTATTTTATTAGACAGGACACAGAGAACTTCTCACATACATAACCACTTGGCCTTTTCTAATCTTGGGGGGGAAACATCTTGAGAACCCCCCTCATATCTGCCAGCTGGGCCCCTATAAGCTCCAGGAGGCAAGAAGAAGACAGTAGTTTATCTGGACCTTAGGAAGGAGTGTCAATGAGCTAACAGGCAGTTTCTCACAGGACTGAACTTCAAAACATCCGCTCCCTTCCCCTTAGAAGCAGAGATCTTTATGCAATCTCAGGACTCTTGAGTCTGACCTTTGCTCAGTGACCTGGAACCTTCAGGAACATCAGCACAAGTCTTTGTCCTTCAAACTCACAGAAGTCCCATGGCCACCCTCAGAGGCTACACAGCTGCAGGCCTATTGCAGTGCTGTATGCTCTTCCGCTGTGTAATCACCACTGGTCTGATCTGTCTGGGCTCTGACATTCTTCCTGCCCAGCTCTTCCTACCCTGCCTGTCAAGTTGAAGTTCCTGAACCTAAATTAGGGGAGCCGCTGAGCTAATTCATCAGACCCCATCCACTCACAGACCGTAGCGTGAGGGAACCCGGGGGAAAGTGCTACAGCTCTGCTGCCAGGAAACTCCGATGAGAGACACCAGAGGGCAGTGAAGGAGGCTCAAGGCTGTGGCTCCGAGGAACATGCCCAGGCCACAGGTTGGGAGACCAAACTTATTGAGGATGATGTAAGAAGACCTGCCTTTCCCAAAGAGCCATGTCTAAACAAAAGCAGGCGCCAGAGAGATGGTTCTGTGGGAAAAGAGCTGGCTGTG